TCGGGGGGGAGGGGGGAGGGGGGTGATGAAAATCGTTGCAAGCCTAACAGGGAGGAACAAGCGAGTCCTGCCATATAATCCGCCCCATAATTGGCCTCCCGATGCACATGCTGGATCCGAATATGCCATTTCTTTTGAACCAAGTCCCTATAGCCCGGACTATATCATCATGAGCCCCAAAATCTGGCCTCTCAATGCACTATTGGATTCGAATATGTCATTCTAATGTTTTAAATTTTGAATTCAATTACCAAGTCCTCTATGTGCCCTTTATAAAACGGACCAGACTTTGCCCCTCCTCATCATGCACACGGTCAGCCCCAAGCAAGAAGAGAAGTTTGAACCATTCCACACCAACCTTCCCAAATTTTCGGCCACTACAACCCATGAGCTCCCACTGGTTTTTCTCCCCTCCCTTTACCCTAATCACCTCTTTTTGTCGGCCAGTTTGAGCCAAGATGAAAATGATTAATCCGAGCCTTAGAATTTGATTCGGGAAGCCGAGTCAAGTCAAGAGAAGTCAAGAAGAGAAGCTAGAATTTTATGTGGTTTTATCAGCCTAATTGGACTGAATTATGTGTTCTTATCTGCCAGTATGTGCCTTACGTGTTTTAATATTTGTTCTACATTTTTAATCCAAACCACAATAATAAGACTTAATATAAAAATTCAGATTAAGAGGAGTCAAATTCTCACACAGACGCATATGCTTTCATTCCATCCAAGTATAGTAAGTTAAAAAGGTGGGGAAGTCTATCTTATGTAATATTCTTTATAATTATTATTGTGTTATGGTTGTTGTATGTTGCATAAGTATTCTCGCCTGTGAGAGGCAAAGCATGTATAACCATGCCAATGATTGGTAGCACCAACGAGAGGCTGAGCATTTATGATCCTGCCGTGAGGGGTAGCATCGGGGAGAGACCGAGCATTTTGTTATCCTGCCCGCAAGGGGTAGCGCCGAGGATGTGGTCGTAAGAAGTGGTTCATGGAGGACCGGTTGTGATCCGGATTTTAGTCGCACCCAGCAGGGTGGTTCAATCAGGTAGGCGCAACCCATGGTACCTGTGGAGTATATGGGTGGTAGGCGGAGGCTAGCTCAATGTGAGTTAGGCAGGGCAGCACCTCGACACTTAGGCAGTTGGACGTTCCACCGAGGGGACCGAGCTCGGAGGTGGTCTTGTGCTCAAGTCATGAAGATGTTCACAACCTCAAAGACTCTTAGGATTTTGACCTAATCCAGATGAAGACTCATAGTATGATAAGAACTCTTCAACTTCTACATGACCTTATGTATAAAAGGGCACATGTTCATTCATTCTACACAACACACACATACAAATTCTGTCGTTACTCTGCCGTTTTCTCTTTGGACCACCATTGACTTAAGCGTCGGAGTGTTCGCGCCGGGACCACCCCCGGCGTGTTTTGCAGGTACCGACGATCAAGGAGATGCAAACTGGTTCGTAAAGGAGCGTTCTAGTGGTTCAAGTATTTGTGGTACAACAGTCAGTGTGAGGCCGAGCAATAGGATCAGTTTGTTTATGTGGATGCTAATATCATGGTATCCGTTAATTATCCTGAATATCTCCATATTATAGACTCCAGGTGGACACGTTGATTTTGCTCACCCACCAAAATTATCTTTTCAGGTTGATGCTGACCGGACGTGAGGTGTGGTGGTGGTCGAAGAAAGTTATCTATTTATGCTTCTGTTTTTGTGTCGAACTTGATTATGTTTGCATGTCTTTCGAAACCAGAAAGATAATTGGAGTTTATGAATGTTTTCAATTAATGGCTTAAGTGTTCGATCGTTCTGCTTAGTCGTAATCGAAAGAAAGAAAGGAAGTGTTCGAGATGTTTTTTCGAGAACCTAAGCGCGAGGCTTAGGTTAAGAAAAGAAGAAAAGAATGAATAAGTGCCCAAGAAAACGTTTTAAATATTTTGAAAAGTTCAATTTTTTTTTTAAATTCATGTAATAAGTAAGGGGTGCTTACACCCTCAGCTCGATCCCCCTTAATAGCCAACTCCAAAACATCATTAAAATTTAGATTTTGAAATTTGAAATTTGCTGGTGTCGCGACGCGGGACCCATCACTATGCGACGAGTCAATATGGCAGGGTGCGCGGCGTGTAGTGTGTGAGGCCGCGACGTGAAGAAAGCTGGAGTGCCGCGGCGCGAGACCCACCGCGGCGTGGCACCTAGGAGT